GATTATTCGAGCCTTGCGGTTCATTTTTATATTAGGTCTACCGGAAAGTTTTGTCCGATAATGTCATTGCAAATTTCGATAGGTATGCATATGTTCATTTGAGACATATATTCTTGAAAAATGTTACAAATTGCCATCACGTTGGCAAGAGGTCATAAGTAACGACGTAAATTATATTGTACAATAAATATTACTAAATTTATGAAAAATCTATTATTTACTTTCATTCCTTAAACGGACAGAACTTTCCGGTAGACCTAATAGTTATAAATTGTCCACAATTATAAAAACGAGCCGCAAGGCTTACTGTACAGCAATGTCTCTCTAATTGACGCCCAGATTGATTGATGCCTTTCGTCTAATTTAAGCTGCAACACTTCGGACTGCAATCGCAAAAAAAGAAGCGTCGCCTAAAGCACCCCGGAAACATCGGGAATTTTTTTGCAAGCCGCTCTCGCTTGTCCTTAACGGGGAAATATTTCACTTCGCGGCGCAACGATTCGACGAAAGGAAAATCCGCGGAACTGGCGGCTACAGAAGCGCGGTGACAGATCCAGGGATTTAGACCGACTGTAGATCGCGATTTAATCCAGAATCGTACCGATCCCGGCCAGTAAAACGATATGCATTTTCGCTGCGAATGCGGCGGTGGCGGAGGCGAGCGTCGCTAACTCGATTAATCCGTGGCTTTTAGAAGCCGGCTCGCTAACGAGGTGATGAAGCCATCGGCGTAAACGAGCCTCGATTATTGCCCGCGAATAGTTTCGCGAAAGGAAAAATAACTGCTAGGCGAGCGGGAGCGGGTTCATGCGGCGATAACGATCGATCGGCCGGAGGAACATAGTCGAGCGGGGCCCGATCTCGATAAATCCTGAAAGTAATTAGCGGCCGGATTGTCGTCCCCCGTCGTCGTTGTCTTCGTGGTTCCGAGACTTGGAACAGGCGAACGTCCACGGGAAGAGAAGAACGTCGAGGGACTCGGCGCCGGCCGAAGGGAGAAGTGGTTGCTATGATTACAGGGAAGATGCTCTCGGTTCAACGACCACGACCCCTTCGGGGCCCTTCGCCTTCGCCCCGTCGAACCACGGGAATAATCTCTCGACATCTATCGATCGATCTTTCGTCTCGAAATTCGCGATCCGGCGGATTTGCCGGCGTTATCTGTCGAGCCTGGTCCGGACGTAAGTCCGATCGGATATCTTCGATCTCGACTTAATCCATTAATTATAGGCCTAATCGGCCGCGATGCGCGTCAGCGATGATGTTACTTGGAGGATGTCCGGTCGATGCGCGTTCGATCGACCGGCAAGACGAGCTCTCGTGGGACGGTTAATGGCGGAATACTTTAATTGGCAGCGATCGACGCGGGATCGAACCGATCGTCCTCCGGACGCTAGAACGAGAACTCTATCATCCCGGAGCCTGTCGGGATCTGCTTCGTCGACGCGACGTCCCGGCCGAAAGCCGGGAAGAAAGAGAGAGAGAGAGAGAGAGACGCCGACACGGCTGCTGTCAGTTCGCCGCTTTCGTTTTTCATGCAAATTTAATCATCGCTGCGGATGCGCCGAGGGTAGAACGGCCTGACGTATCCACGGGAGCGTACTATTTCAATCCTCCGACGGAGAGAGAGACAAAGAGAGGAAGAGAGAGAGGGAGAGAGGTAGAGGAAGAGTGAGAGTGACAGAGAAAAAGAGAGAGACAGAGACAGAGAAAGATCTCTCTTTCTCTCGTATCTTTTGATAGAGATAGAGAGAGCGAGAGAAAGAGCGAAATAGATAGAGAGTGCGAGAGAGAGAGAGAGAGAGAGAGAGAAAAGAGAGAAAGAGGGAGACATAGAAAGATCTCTCTTTCTCTTGTATCTGTTGATAGAGATAGAGAGAGCGAGCGAGAGAGAGAGAGAGCGAAATAGATAGAGAGAGCGAGAGAGAGAGAGAGAGCAAAATAGATAGAGAGAGCGAGAGAGAGAGACAGAGGAAGAGTGAGAGTAATAGAGAAAAAGGAAGAGAGAGAGAGAAAGAGACAGAGAAAGATCTCTCTCTCATATTTCTCGATACAGATAGAGAGAGCGAGCGAGCGAGAGAGAGAGAGAGAGAGAGAGAGAGAGAGTGCGCGAAATAGATAGATAGATAGATAGATAGATAGATAGAGAGAGAGAGAGAGAGAGAGAGAGAGAGAGAGAGAGCAAGGCGTTCGCGCCCCAAGAATTTCTCGCGTCTCGGAGACGCGAAGGATCGCAAAAACCGGGAAAATTCTTCCACGGTGCCACGCTGTCCACGGGCTCCCAGGCGAACCAGCGACCCTGAAGACCTTCAGCGATTCCGAGGAAGATCGTCGCGCCTCGTTGATCCGGCAGAACGACGGTCGCCAAGATCTCGAAGATCGGCAAGATCGTCAGCCTCCGGATCAGCCTTCGGTTTCCGATGCTTCGACATGCTCTTTCGAGTTTCATCGAGCTTCGAACGCAGCTTCAGGGAACGCAAACCCATACAAAGGTGGTTGTGCTTAGAGAGCGCACAGTTTCCGTGGTTCGCGCGATTTTAGGGTTCGATTCCGCCGCTACCGATTCCGGGAAACTATGAAACCGGCCGATTACCCACCGAGGGCGCGGCACAATTGCCAGTTGCCGCGGCATTTATCCTCCGAAGGACTCGTCGCCTCTCTTCGGGGAAGCCGAAACCACGTCGTAGGACGTTATTGGAATGCAACATCTCTGCCCGGCCGGGATTATAGTGTTCGACCGGGTCGGCCGACGGAATGACATGCCCCCCGGGCCTTGACAACCGACTAACAGCCAAGCTCTTCGGGAAAACGCGTAGAATTGGTAGCACCGTAATGGCGCCGAAGACAAACAGATTACTGCTGGCGGTCCGCCAATTGTTTTCTTTCTTCGGAGCATCCCGGTCGCGCGGTCTCGTGTACGCGCCGCGTTACGATGCTCGGAATCCGGGCGAAGCTGGTTCGCCGCCGGTTCGAAGAGACTTTCGAGAAACAAGATCGATAATTTCGCGGCGTTCGTCGTTTTATGAGGGAATAAAGAACACATTGTGTGCGAACCCATAAATGAGCCGCTTATTTTGAAAGTGGCATAGGCCACTTTACCGTAATGAAAAGTGGTGATTTTTTAATGTTTATACGAAATTATTTATACTGAGGAAAATATCGGTATATATAAATAACATAATAAATATATAGACATATATATACATAATAATAAATACAAAAATAATAATACATACAATATATATATATATATATATATATATATATATATATATATATATATATATATATATATATA